AAAACGGGAGGGAGGGAGATAAAAGAGATGGTCAGAGAAAGGCTAGATTAAACACAATATAAACTTGTAACGTACAAAACCCCCTTAATAAAAAAAGTAAACGAAGTTACTTTTTCCAAGAAGTTACCAACTGATTCTAGCTAATAAAGTTAACTGTAGAAGAGAAAGTCAAGTAAAAGAGCACTACACAAGATGATTGAAGTTTAAGGATGTACTATTTGAGTTGACAACAAATAAACGAGAATTAGTTTATTTTGCAAATTTTGGTTGATTCGTTTGTTTGTTTTGAATTTCGCACAAAGCTATACGAAGGCTATCTGCGCTAGCCGTCCCTAATTTAGCAGTGAAATTAGAGGGAAGGCAACTAGTCATCACCACCCACCGCCAACTCTTGGGCTACTCTTTTACCAACGAATAATGGGATTGACCGTCACATGATAACGCTCCCACACCTGAAAGGACAAGCATGTTTGGTGGGACGGGGATTCGAACCCGCGACTCTCAGATCGCGAATGAAGCGCCCTAACCACCTAGGGTTTATTCATTAGTAACAAATAAGAGAATGCTTTTACTTTGTAATTTTACAATGTTTATTAAACAGATGAAATAATTTTCCCCTGTAATGTTGAAACGGTTTAATAATGAATGAGACCAAGCGGTTTTCCTCTGTCATTTTAGGTTGGTTTATGACATGTAAGGGAGGAATGTTATTTTACAATATGGAGTTGATTCATAATGAATGCGAGAATGAATTTCTTTTGTAATTTTGGGTTGATGCATTACGAATGAGTGATTAAGATTTCCTGTTGATTCACGACAAATGAGGATTGCGTTTCCCTTTATGTACGGTTGGTCCATAAGAAATGGGGGAGTCGGTTTTCCTTTGGAATTTCAGGTTTGTTTATAACGAATAGCAAAGAAGTTCGAATTTTTGGCTGGTTTATAACAGTTTGCTTGTTTTTGAATTTCGCACAAAGCTACACGAGGGCTATCTGCGCTAGCCGTCCCTAATTTAGCAGTGTAAGACTAGAGGGAAGGCAGCTAGTTATCACCACCCACCGCCAACTCTTGGGCTACTCTTTTACCAACGAATAGTGGGATTGACCGAAACTTTATAACTTCCCCACGGCTGAAAGGGCGAGCATGTTTGGTGGGACTGGGATGGTTTATAACAGATCAGACAATCAAACGAACGTACAAATGTAGATAGCTCTCCTCCACACACATGCTGATATCTGAAAACAGAAGGTATTCACATCATTAAGTGTTACTGCTTTTCTTGTTTGTTTGAAATGAGTCAAATGTTTGAGGGGCACCCAGTATTTTTCATATTAAGTTTAAGCCTCAATGATGCTTCTTTTTTGTTCTTTGAATTCATTTATACAGAGGTAAATTCGATGACGAGGAACCCACTTTGAGACTAATAATGGCTGGAGACGGCTTGAATGGGTAATGAAGAAAAACTTTAATATAAGTTTAACATAACAGCAAATGTACAACGTTTCGACAAGGTTTTGTCATCATCAGGTACATCAAGCCGTCTCCAGCCATTATACAGAGGTAAGTTGAAATCAAACATTAAAATACAATTTCTTGGCTTTTTCTACAAATTTTGTTTAATCATCAAGAAAACTGTAGAAAGAAATTATTAAAAATATATATATGAGCCGAATATTTCCGTCCTTGCGACATCCCCCGGACATTAAACTATGAGTGACAGCCAATCCCTTAGTATGGATGGTGGGTGGTAGGGTGATGCTTATTGGCTGCCTCCCTTCTGGTCAGTAGTTCAAACTTAGAAAAACGGCGGCAGATAGATAGCCTTAGTAGTTTTGCCCTAAATATATTTCAACTATAACAAGAATAAAGATGGTATGCAGTAATATTTTAGCAACATTAAATAACCTCTGAATCAGTTAATTGAGATCATTAAATTCCAACCAAAACAAGTTTTAATGACTTGATGAAAAATTACTAAGAAAACAGAAGGAACATAATCACTCTGATAGAAAAACTCCCCCCCCCCACACACACGTGAAAGCGAAGGACAAACGAGAGCTCACTGTCAGTAAAATGACAGTAAAAGCTCTCGTTGAAAAAAACGCTTGGGGTCAACATAGGAAACTAACCCGTGTGCACAGTACCGATGGAGCCTGAAAAAATATGACTCGAGGGCTGACAGATTGGTTCTCAGTGCTACACGTGTGTAACAAAACCGCAGGGACTTACTGTAGGAATCAAGCACGTTACTCTGTACAGCTGGAACTCTCTCTTAAGTGTACGCACATGTTAAATATAAAGATTCTAAAACTTTTTACGCAACTCAAGCACGAATTTCTCTGTCGTCTTTTTTTTTCCTTCACAACTACAAACTTACAGCGCTATTAATGTTCCAAAGACGATTCTTATTAAACAAAAGTGGAGCACAATAAATAGTTTAAGGGTTCCTACAAGAAAATATGTGAGAGAAAGTGTGTGTGTTTTATAGCAAAGATACATTGGGCTATCTGATTGTTTGTTTGAAGTTAAGCACAAAGTTACACAATAGGCTATCTGTGCTCTGCCCACCACGGGTATCGAAACCCGATTTGTAACGTTGTAAGTCCGCAAATTAAAGGGACAAGAGATATGTTAATCTTCTGTTTGTTATACGTTGAAGGAAAACAATTTTTATAGTAATATTCTACACATCTTTATTAGTATATATAAATATACGGTTATGGAAACGGTGAATAAAATATGTATCAAAGTCAAACATTACAGCAACTCCACTCTTTTATAGTGTGCATTTACCAAAAGACAGCCACGTATTGCTCTGACTTGTTGTCATCCAACCAATCAGAAAGTTCTATATAAGTCCAAAGCCAACAAAGTAGAGGTAGTGATACTATGCCCAACAGTAGTAGTGTATCACAGTCATGGCTCTTTCGACTGAATTATCGCATGATAAATGTGCAGAAATCAAAGGTTTTATTGGTCTAGATTACTCCGTGCGAAAAATAAAAGAACTGTAAGGCTGTAAGCTGGCTGCAAGACGGTACCTGACACTGGCATTCTTAATAACAGAAGTGATAAAGGTAGAAAATCGAAGTATCACATAAGTGAAGTGACGTACTTAAGGGTACGATCTTCACGAGATAAAGACGGTCGAATACAGATCATGCCAATGACCATACTTTTAAAATACAGATGTGAAAGTTGTATCTAGAACAGTAAGATATCCATTAGCACGAAGTGATACCATTTGACGTGCAATTGCTCGTAAACCGCTGCTGAGAAAAGTTAACCAATCCAAGAGGTTGGAATATATATATTGTGTACCATGTATAGCCCGTTAGGCCCAATATGCATATATATGTATGCATGTTTATGAGGTAAAAGCTACCTTCAAAATCTTAAAGCTACGCAAATCGTATGACATGACACGAATCATATAGCATGACTTTGCACAAACGTGTCATATAACAAATGCCCCACTTCAAATGCAACAAAATAATTAACTAATAAAAAATCTTACCACGAGTGTAGTGGCCCGTGTAGAAAGCTGACTAAAGATGCATGCAGAGGGTCTGAAGAGTTGTCACGTATTTTATGCATGTGTCAGGTAGGTAACGGCTTGAATGTGTTCAGATTTTGTCGCATTTCACGATATTTTACGAAACGACCTTATGCAAATTAATACTGGCACCTCGTGGCACAAAAAACTGTGGAATTTGATAAATGCTTCTACACAAAGGTTGTGATAAACATCGGTTGACGTAATTATTTTCAATTGTTTATAATGTACTATTTTATTATTTTTTTAAATTTTAATATCAGTTTCCTGTTTCTGTTTACAGTGAAAAGGTGGCATTAATATATATATATACATATGTAACGTATAACACTTAACAAGCACTGAAAGTAAGTGTTGTGTTCACACTATTTTTTTTATCAAACAAAAAAAGTGTTTATTCATGATTTAAAACTTTCCCAGATGATAAATGCATGACTAACGGCCAGTAACAACTGTTTTTATTTGTTCACCTTGTTGAATGCTCCTATACCAACAACAGTGTGTGACTCGTCCTCGCGGGTACGGGTATAAGCTTGAAGGGATAACCGTATGTCTAAATAATTATATACAAAATCATCCAGTCAAATCCTGTACTTCTTAAGTTGTGGTATGTTATTAATTTGTGCAAAATAAAAACACAGTAAAAAACTTGGTAAGTTGATTATAGCACGTGGCTATATCGAAAAACTATGGTGTAGATACAGTAGGTCGCATAAATTTGAATATGTTTACATTAATTGTTAATTGCAGTAACTTCTAGTCAAAGCAAGCTACTTACATACATCATGACTAAAAATCAGCCCCGTAATGAATATAAATAATTAAATATACTGTTCTTACATACATATTAAATATTAGAATGTATTATTATCGTGTTAACGCTTTTTCCAAGCTAATGAAGCATAGTCATAATTAATTATACCTGTCATCAGACATTAGTGTTAGGCCTATTGTATTTTTTAACATATAAATAGGGTTCTGACCATTAATATTTTTGTTGTGTCTCAATAAATAATGTTCTGACCATTATTGTGTTTGTTGTGTCTCAGGCGGCCTGATGAGCTCTGGATTGAGCGAAACGCATCGTCGGCAATGGATTTAGCGAACATAGGGGTTGTAATACTTGCATCTTACACTTTTCTCATTGTTGAAAATCCCTAAGGGTCTAGATAAAGTATGCAGTGTTAAAAATATACTAGGCCTAATACAAGTATAAGCCTAATGACAACTATAAGTAATTAGAATATATTGTTCCATCCATCAGATGGGCACGCTGTTACCAATATTTTCGGTCTTAATAACTCACGAGGTTCGTCCAGCTTTGAGGACTTAGGTTAGCCCTAAATTCATACTCTAAGCCGACAATGCAAAATAATCTTTATAATAAAAACAAGCAATAACAAAACAAATACATTATACGTTCTAACTAATACTGTTAACTTACACCAGGATATGAAAGTGGTCGTAACCGTTCATAATCCTCTTGCCCAGCAGTATCCCAAAGCGTTAAACTAGCTCGAACACCATCGCATTCTATATTCCCTGCATAATTATCGAACCTGTGAATAAACAAATACATCCATAAAGGGTAAGCGAAACAAAGAAATGTGCTGTAAAATAAAGTTTAAACAAAAAATACGTTTGGCAGTAATAATAACTACGGACAGAATCTACAAAGTTGGTATTAAAAATATTCCATTTAGTTATCTACCATTCATGTCAAAAAGCATTCATTTTTATATCACGTATTTCATATATACTTTTAAAATTAAAACGATTGTTTGTTTGTTTGTTTTAAGTTATGCACAAAGCTACACAATGGGCTATCTGTGCTCTGCCCACCACGGGTATCGAAACCTGGTTTCTAGCGTTGTAAGTCCGCAGACATACTGGGGGCAAATTAAAACGAAAAAACTTCGAATTTTAAAAACCACATAGCTATTTATGTTTAAAACGAAATGGTGTGGCTATATGTTTTCATTGATAATACGATAAAATAATTTTCTTTTTAGAGATATTAAATATTCTTCACAAATAAAATAAAAATTGTAAGTTTCTCAATAACATATTTTACGAAATGTGTGTTTTTCTCTCTCCCTATACAAACACATATGTATACTAGCCAATAGGGGTTGAGTGATAAAGATAAGTTAGAGATCCAGCTAAAACTGAAACAACTCGATCTTGAACAGGCTCGTATTGAAGCCGAAAAAGACAGTGAACAAACTTGTATTGAAGCCGAGAACGAACGAGCTCGTATTGAGGCCGAAAAAGAAATTAGGCTAAAAGAAATGGAAATTAGACTCAACACTGATTGACCAAAGCGAAATGACAACTTTGAACTTAATGAATATGTTAAAGTACCACCGTTTAATGAAAATGAAGTAGATAAATATTTCCAACATTTTGAGAAGGTTGCCCAAACCATGGAATGGCCCACCGAAAAATGGTAATTATTATTACAAAGTGTCTTAACTGGTAAAGCACAAGAAGCTTTCGCCACTCTCTCTTTAGAAGATTGTACGAGTTATGATAAGGTTAAAACAGCTATTCTCAAAGCATACGAGTTAGTACGGAAGGCTTATCGCTAAAGGTTTACAGGTTACCACAAACAGGATAAACAAACTTACATGGAATTTGCCCACGAAAAAGAGGTTTATTTGATCGATGGTGTAATTATATGCATACTAGCAACAGTTTCTACAAACTAAGACAGTTATGCCTAATTGAGGAATTTAAACGTTGTGCATGTGACGACCTCAAAACTTACTAAGATGAAAAGAAAGTTGAAACACTACAGGAAGCAGCTGCTCTTTCCGATGACTGTACTTTAACACATAAAACCACTTTTATAAAAAGAAATTCCTACCATCTCAACAAAAACCTGTATCTGTTCAATCCACTAAAGTTGAGGATTCTTACAAAAAATCCAGTTCCCCTAGTTCGAAATCTTTTGACAGTCAGGATAAAACGTCTTTAAAACAATCAAGGCCTGTCGGCCATTTCTTTAAAAAACCTGGTCATGTTATGTCCGATTGTTGGTGTTTGAAAAAGAAAAGGAGGCAACACCCAGTGTGTTTGTGTCCACATATGGACGTAGTCTCACCAGTTCACCCGATGTTGTTTATTTGGCCAATGATATAAAGGCTGATGGAGAAATTTAGACCTTTTGTGTCTGTTGGTTCTGTGTCTTTGACAAATGACACTGTCAATCCCATACCCAGACATATTCTACGTGATACCGGAGCGACTCAATCCTTGTTGTTAGAAGGTGTATTGCCATTAGGTTCGAGTTCTGTCACTGGTGAATTTGTTATTGTTCAGGGTATTTGGGGTGGCTTTGTTAATGTTCCTCATCATAATATTTATTTAGCATCAGACCCAAGTTTCGGGACCAACTGTGGTTGGAGTAAGACCTACTCTTCCAATTAAGGGTGTATCATTGTTGTTGGGAAACAATTTGGCTGGTGGAAATGTTGTTGCCGAACCTAAAATGGTTAACGAGCTGATCACTGTTTCATCTAAGGATAATGTTGTAGTTGAGGAGAATCCCGATGTGTTTCCCTCATGTGCTGTGACTCGAGCTCAGACTAAGAAATTAAGCCAAAAACAAATGATAGACATGGATTCAGAGGAAAATATTATACATTTGTAACAGACATTTTTTGGATCCAACGAGGATCTTGGGGATAATTGTCCTATTGATGATTCCTCGGTGAGAAACGACGATGGACATGAGGAATCTGATTCACCTGGTGAACTCCCATTTACTAAAAGTAAACTGATAGCTGAGCAAGAAAATGATCTGCAGATCTCTTCACTATTTACATATGCGCTCCTGGAAGATGAACTGGAGAAAGTTCCAAATGGTTATTTTTTCAAAAATGGGGTGTTTATGAGAAAATGGAGACCCCCAGATGTGCCAGCTTCAGAGGATTGGGCTATCGTTTATCAAATCGTTGTTCCCAAGGCATATCATCCT